GAGATGCAACACACGTGCCGGTACATTTTTATTTGTGTGGCGTTGACAGTTTTTTACCTTGCCTAAGTGGGTGGTGAGCCAACAAGTTTGGGAACCCATGCAGGTTTAGGTATCACTACTTAACATTTATAGTACGTACGTACTTAAAAACAAAGTCGTAGACAAATATAACGACACGCCTGTCCACAGCAGGTGCAGTGTCACACAGAGCTTTAAATCGCAAAGATCTAAGCGGCACGTCACCTTGAGACTTAAGTTGACAGTCTTATATGCCTGTAATTTCACCAGCACCCTTACCCTTCCATACCAGAACGCAATAATTCTCACATTACTGCTTGACGGCAGGGCTCTACTGCTACTAATCTGGAATCGGGAGGCGGTGCAAAAAACACAGATCTTTGCGACGCCGCTGACATTCGTAAAATAATTTTGGTAGTGGTTGCTTTTTTTTGCTACCGCACAGAGTTATCACCATTAAGAACGATTTATTATTAAAATCTGATGATTTATTAAAAGTCATGGAACAAAAGTTGTTGTTTATGATGTTAGTCTCGCGAGGTTGTTAGTATTTTTTAAAATAACCCTGTATAATGCAGGTACGAGTAACTGGACGTAGGGTAACGGTGCGGGTGGAAATTACAGTCACATGGGATTTGTCAACTTATGTCTCAAGGTGACGGGCGCAGTGGCAGCGCCCATCAGCTGTTTATGATTTAAAGCAATGAGTGGGACTGCAACAGTTATGAACAGGCGTGTTACTTACCACCAGGACTTGGTCGTCCCGTTCGACTTGGTCTCATGAAAACAAATAGTACAATAAAACTTGAAGTTTATTTTTGATAAAAATATTATGTTTTGTGAAAAGTTGTGGAACTCTTGTTGTTGTTTATGGTGTTAGTTACATAGTAAATTAAACGCCAAATTGGTCATATATCCTTTTTGTTACATAAAAGTACAAGAATTCCAAAATATGTCCTACGATCCCAAAAGAAATGTTGTATAATTTAATCGTATGGGTATATGGTTCGCATTTTTTGTTTATTTATTTTTTGTTTATATTTGAATCACATCCACCTGTATAATTAATACTACTTTTTACCTGAAATACAGGATTCTCCTAGTTCAGGTATATGTCTTATATCTTACATTGATTCGCATAATTAGTCTTTACTTATTTGTACAATAAATTATTCAATAAACAATTTTATTACTATTATTATTTTATTATAGTCCGGCGACGTTACCTGGTATAGCTAATAATTTCAGGTCTTTCTCGAAGTTTTAAGACTCTCTCAAGCGTCTGCCCAATCACTCTCGTCCATATTTAGCAAAGCGATTAATGTCCGTTATCGGCTGATAGGTGTTATTCCTGCACCGATCGTCGCGAGGGTAAAGCATCGCTCGATTTACTTAACGATCGCAATTAAGCAGATAATGAAGTACGGTGGCGGTTTGTTAGTGTCGTAGTTAAGTGCTGGTAACTATTTCGATAACGGCCGATAGCCTTTTCGAAATTATAGAAATGGGAACTGGATTTTGTAGATGGATGTACTTTTAAACATTCAATTAGTTCGCTGATTATACAAGGTTCTATGTGACATTCGAAAAATTCTCAGAAATTTGTTTACCTGCTCTGTATATCCCGAAAACTATAATTCAGGAGTACTCGAAGTTGGAATGAAGAGGCATTTTTTAGACAAAAAAACCTACCGTCGTAATAAATTTATTTGTGAAAATACAGGTCGTAAACATGTTGTCATGTACAAAATAAGTATAGTTTCATTGTACAGACATTAGGCATACAAACATACTGAAAGTATATTTATATATTTACTCACATACCTACACTTCCACAAACTAAACCAGTGGCCGTAGCATTGCATACAATGAGTTATAAACCCTTGATAAGCCTCTCCTTGACATATTTATTTCAGTTACTATAAGTATATTGCCATTATTAATTATTTTTTATTGCGAATACCGAATCGATAAGATGCGACAAAAATATGTCTTCACGGTACTTGCAATGTTAGCTATTGTGATAAAATTTTAAAACGCCGTTTTATCACTCGAATTTGACAGCTAAATGTGGATATAATAGCTTCATCGCGGCGGCATACTACGGGGGCAGGTGTAACATGTTTTCTTAATTATATCACATGGGCGTGTACACTTGGATTTGATAAGTCAGTCAGTAATTTAAACGCTGTGGTAGTTACGTGGAGCAATTTCAATGGTAACAATTGAAAAATGTATTTGAATAATGTGAAAGTGAATACACAAATGACAAAATATAGATAATCAAGTTAGGGATTTGTCACTTAATAATTCGGAAACTGTATACTGACCTCCTTCGCATGACTAACGCATTTGCGTTTCGGTAACTTTCAAGAATTATTATCGGTCATTGAATGAATAACCTTGACCAAGAGATAAAAACCCGAATTGAAATCGCCCGAGCGTCTTTCATGAAAATTAAAGTAATGTTGTGCTGCCGAAAACTTAGCTTCAACTTAGAATCCACATCCTCCATTGTTATATCTGGCTAGTCGTTATGTACGGCAACGAGGCATGGACGATCAAAGAAGAAGCCAGGCAGCGTCTCGTCGCATTCGAGATGTGGTGCTGCCGCCGCTTGCTGCGGAGGCAAAAGATGCGCTAGTAGACGTAAAAAGTCATGGTTACACAATATCAAGGAGTGAACGAGCGTCACGAGCGCAGAACCACTGTTTCGTTTGGCAATGGACAGGGACAAGTTTGCCTTATTGACGACCAACCTCCAATAGCGGAGAGGCACTTTAAGAAGAAGAAGAGCTTTCGAGATATCTTTTTATTGTCACCTAAAAAATGGCAATTACGCTGATTTTGTTTAACAATAAATCTGAACCACGATACCAAATCCGATTAGAGGGGTTATAGATTTCGTTTTGCTGATTCCAGAAATACGCTACGTAATAACTCAATTTCGTTAAATATGTCTATTACATTACTCCTAACGGACGCAGTATAGCACATTTTGTTAGTCAATGGACTGTTTATTTTTTTCTACTCCTATCACTGACTATGACTCCTATACTTTTTAATCTGTCAATTATAATTACTTATACCATATCACAAAGGCGCTCTTTTTAGTTCTGAATTAAACTTCTATTGTCTATGGTATTCGCTACTGAACTGAAAAATTGCATTATGGTTCTGTACAATGAGTTTCAAAAAAAGAATGTCCTATTTTTATAGGAATTGAAATATCAAATATGCCGCTTCTCAAACGCACTACTGCCTCTTGATTGTTTAAATTTAGCCTAAAGGTCCTTTATAAACCTTTATAAAAAAAAAGATTGGTTAAAGTATAAACGGTATTTGGCCACTTCTATTCTATCTCCTTTTCTTCTTTTTGTAGCGTTTGTCGGCTTTCGTTTATGTTTGTTCGAAATATACATTAAATATTGGTTCTGTTCATTGACTTACAAATAAATGGACGACGGGTCTAATACAAAAACCACGAAAAAAATGTCCCAAGTCAACCTATTCGAAATTTAAATTGTAATGTCATCGCAGTATCGCGCTGTCAGTCGAACAAATGAAGACTAAAGCGGAGTTTGGCGCTCTGTATACGATTTTAGCGCCTTACAAGTGCGGACACTTTTTAGCGCGGACCCGACGTCCATATAATTGTAAGTCAATGGTTCTGTTCCATCATTTTATTTACTCATAGAAAAAGTATTATATGCAATCATTACATAATTAGGTCTTAAAATCTAGTACCTATTACTTAGGCCACGCGGCATAAAATAGCCTAAAGTTTTTCTCAGACTGGAGTACCTACGGCAAATTATTGTTAAGGATCCGTTTATTGCTGTGGTACCCCGTTTTCAACAAACAAATAAGTCGGAGTACAGTCAAATGGAGAACCTCTTCCTTTTTTAAAGTCGGTTAAAAAGATGTGTCCTGTCACCTGATAAAATGGAACTGCCTAATCAAACTCGAATAATAACTATCCAATAGCCTCCGAATAACGAAATTTGGAAATCTAATAAATTAGAAGATCGATTTAAGAATTGCAAAGAATGCGACAACGGGCGCTCCCAAAAAATATGACGCATACAACCATAAACTCTACATGTCACCTGTCGTCATAAAACTGAACGCTAAAACATTACGGTATATCGTGATTTACTCTATTCTACTTTGTTTGCTTCAATATAAGTTAGAGAAAGATAAAGATCGCCATTTTGTTATGTGATGTACGGAATTAACTTCGTTTTTCAAGGAAATCACGCCGGACTCTGTTAAAAAAATTAAAAAATTAAAAATCCTTCTAAAACTGAAAACACAAGAAAACGAAGACCAGTACAATAAATAAATTAAAAAGGAAACCATTTATTTCAGACAATTTACAGTCCACCTTGTTAGTAAATTTCTAACTTATATTTTTTTATTGTTGTATAACGTAAATACGAAATCATAGAAAAATGAAATAAAATAAAACAAATTAAAAGTATCAAAGCCAAAGTAGACAGGATTACATATATATGAAGTATGGATAGGCAACATCAACCCATTTATCCCACTGCTGGGTTGTTCCAAGAGTCGTGAACCTTCCTTCACCGAAAAATTCATAGTAAATTTCGCACATAAATTCCGAAAAACTCAGATGTGCAAGCCCGGCGTCGAACCCACGGCCTTTGCTTGAGAGATAGTAAGTCAGTTTGGTTTGTGGTTATTTTTATACGTGACAGGCAGATGACTCCACTCCACCTGACGTAAAATGGAAAATGGAATCCAAACGTGAAGAAAGCTAGTGCAGTGTTAATACAATCACTGCCCTAGCCACCTCCACCCTGTATGCCTGGTGCCTCTTCACGCCTCGTTTGACGGACCTCATATTATCGTAAAACAAAGGAAGGTGCCACTAAATCTTTTAGTTGGCGATGGAATACGATTAGGCTACTACGGATTCTTATTTTTTTTTTTTTTTTTTTTTTTAATTTATTGAGGAACAAACAGTTTTACATATTTAAAAATATACATACTTAAAATTAACATATTACTAAACCTACAGTTCCCTAAATATGCATATAAAACAAAAAAGTATACGGTATACTGACACTTATAAACGTAAGTTTTATAAACGTTAAAAAAAACAAAGTAAAATGAACGCAACACCACCCGTATCCCTCAAACTATGCAACGAACGCACATTTTCTAAGTTTGCTGGATGACAGGCACCGGTTGGTTACGTTCGGGAGCGAGCGGTCGTGTTACGCAACGAGATAAGTACTAAAATGCTATAGTGTAAATTAACATAAGTCGGAATCTAAATGATCCGGAGACCTAAAAAAGAAACAATTGTTCAATACAGGTCGCAGTGTTTGTATAATGCGATGTGTTTACTTTTTGATAAATACTTATTATTAGTATTTATATGACGGCTTGCGAGAACCCCGGATTTTGCAATGTAAACTCCACGCACCAAACGTGGTGTATACTGTAGGTAAGCATGACAGCAAATGTTACTTATTACCTTATATTAACTAATAAATTATTATGAATGAAAATAAAATCTTAATATTAATAAATTGCATTTCAGATAATAACATCTATAATTATAATTGTATGAATCAAGGACAGTGATGATGATGATATGATCGTCATCTATAGCAAGATATTAAATTCTTCATCATAAAAAAAAATAAATATGAATGGATGGCGTGAAGGCCAGAAACTTTAGGTATGAATAGAACGTGTTTCGATTACCTATTATTACGGGAAAAATGCTTATTTTGTGGTAATGTTGTGAAATATTAATTATTAATTTCGTTCCTTACAGGTCTCCTGACTCCATTTAATGACGTAACAAAACTCAGGACACAACAACGGCGCACTCGCTGCTATGAGGACTTATATTACTAATATAATAAGTACACGAATAATAGAAAGTAGCAAACAACCAGTTAAGCAATACAAAAGAATAATCAAAAATTACAAAAAAACAATTACCTACACTATTTTAGTCAACATTAGCACATATAAGGTCAGTGATGTGGTTTTTAAATTTTATTAACGATATATTAAATAATTCTATACTACCTAATTGTCTATTATATGAGGCACATGCTCTTTTTATAAAACTATTACTGCCATAGCCAGTTTTACTTGATTTTATGGCGAAAAGATATTTTTTACGGCTTGTTCTTTCCTGTTTACGCGGTACTCGAAAATAAATTTGTTCCAATAGAACAGGGGCGTCAACCATATTATGCAATATTTTAAACAAATACGTGATATCAGTGATATCGCGACGTTGTCTCAAGGTGCTTATTTTATGAAATACAAGGGAAGATTCATAATCTATGTGTTGATTACCGGTTCTATAATCTAAGGACTTTACAAACTTTCTTTGTAACTTTTCAATTTTATCTTGATGGACCCGTTGGTGAGGATTCCAAACCGGACTTGCGAATTCAAGTCTACTTCGCACGTAACTGTTAAATAACAGTTTATAAGTAGAAGCATTTTTAAAAGGTTTTCCCACACGCAATATGAAACCTAAAAATTTGTAAGAATTTGCGACTATCTTATCTACATGGGGAATGAATGAAAGTTTGGAATCCATTACCACACCCAAGTCCCTAATTTCACTAACGCGATCCAGATCGTGGCCACAAATTTTATATGGGTATACTATTGGATTTTTTGATCTTGTAAAAGAAATTACGAAACATTTATTTAAATTCAAAAATAAATTGCTACTATTACAAAACTCAACAAAATCATTTAGATCACTTTGTAGTAACGCAGAATCATTCATGTCTTTAATAATTTTGTATATCTTTGTATCATCTGCGTATAGTAACACATTTGAGTGATTAATGGATTTTGTCAAGTCGTTAACGTAAATAATAAATAATAACGGTCCTAAATGAGATCCTTGGGGTACCCCAGAGGGAATATTTTTATATGCAGAACGGTAACCACACAGTACAACAGCTTGACTACGGTTCCCTATGTATGAACGTATCCAACGAAACAAGTCACCATGGATTCCGAGTTGCCAGAGCTTGAAAAGTAGTGTATCATGACAAATTTTGTCAAACGCTTTTGCAAAATCTGTGTATATAGCATCGACTTGAGTATTTTCATCCATTGCTGACAATATAAGCTCTGTAAATGTTATCAAATTGCTTTCGACACCACGTTTCTTACAAAAACCGTGCTGGTTCGGGACAATGACGCGCTGTACAACCTCAAATAGTTGATCAGTAACAATCTTTTCTTGTATCTTTGCAAACTGACATAATTTGGAAATAGGCCGATAATTTGTGACTTCCTCGCATGCCTTACCTTTAGGAATAGGTGTTATCCAAGCACACTTCCAAACTTGTGGTACGTAACCATTGTCAAAAGACAATCTGAAAATATAAGTTAGTGGAAAACTTAAAGTATCCGCACACCTGCGAATAAACAGAGGATGTATGCCATCCGGCCCAGCACCCTTAATAACGTCAAGATTTTTCAAATATTTATTTACTAATTCAGGGTTAATCTCCACCGAACCAATATCTAAAACACAATTCAAAGGAATAGCCCTCCGATTAGGTAGTGATTGACTAGTGTTATTTACAAATACTGAATGGAAGTGTTCATTAAAGAAGTCACAAATCTGTTTTCCGTCACTACTGCTTTTCCCATTATAAAACATCGTCCGCGGTAGCCCGCTGGTAGCCTTAATAGCTTTAACGTAGGTCCAAAAGTACTTGGAATTTGTTTGAATTTTGTTTTCAGTGTATTGTATGTATTTATTATAGCATTCAGTTTCCATTCGCTTACCTCTTCTTCTCAAAATATTGAAACACTGATAGTCCAAGGGATTTCCATATAATTTCCATAGTTTGTGATATTTCTTTTTTTCATTCAAGACTTTCCTTAGGGGCTTAGTATGCCATACAGGGCAGGATTCCGAGGATCTGATAATTTTTCGAGGAACAAATTTCGCAATAACATTTCTTAAGATTTCATAAAATTTTGATACACATTCATCTAAGTTTAAAGTTTCAAATAATTTAAGCCAGTTTATATTTTTCAGTTCATTGTTAAGGCAGTCGAAATCTGCTGCATGAAAATTATAACTGTAGGTAGGAAATGAATTCAAAGTTTTAAAATTATCAATATTCAAACAAATTTCAATTGACTTATGGTGGGCATCTTCCTGGGTTAAGGGTTGAGAGCAACTCATGACTTTACAAGTAATATTACTCATCACTAGGTCCAAGATTCGATTATTGACATTATACGCACCATTAAACTGTTGCAAATTAGTGAACGCTAAAAAATCTCTCAATGCTTTTACAGCAAAGTCTCCACCTTTTTGCAACAATTTACTGAAGGTAGGAGTCCCCTGCCACACCGCTTCAGAAACATTAAAATCGCCTACAATCAAAAATATGTCATTTGGTCGATCATTAAATATATCACTCGCACAATTAAAAAAACCTTCCAGCGCGTCACGGTACCCCGGCCCGTGCGGTATATAAATGCAGGCGATATTTAGGTATTTATTATCTATATTTAAAGGTATAGATAACCAAACGCAGTCGGAAGCGGCGCGCGGTGGGGTAGGCCAGTTACGACGCAACGGCATCAATTTAGTGCGCACTGCCACCATCACTCCGCCGCCACGCGTCGCACCGCTCTCCTCATGCGAGCGGTCACAGCGAAACACTACATACCTGCTATCAAAATATTCTCTGTCATAGAAATCGGGTGTCAACCAGCTTTCGGTCACACATATAAAATCGTAGTCAGTCGCAGCTATTTGGGATAGAAAATTATGAGATTTCGTACGTAAGCCCCTTACATTCTGATAGTAACCTAACAGAAGTTTAGCTTCCGGATACATTGCGATTAATTATTATAAACACATATTTATTTTTCGCCATTTGATTATGACATATAATATAGTAATTAGGATTGATTAAATTAAAATATGGGATGTTATTAAGTATAATTGAATATAAATATTTTGGCGGACGAGAGCTTTGCATACGAATAGACAAAATAGTTCTAACCACATCACTGAACAAAAAATCACAAATACAGTATAAACATATCACAGCAAAGTAACTCATGAATTTATCAGCCACGGTAGAAAACCTAAAACGCGGCTGTTTAACTCTTAAGTATATAAAATTATAGATTAAGAGTCACTTTAACTTTGATATGTCGACATCGTTCTTAATAACAATGACCTTTGATCTTTCGTTTTTACGTATCAATATTTTACAATCTCTAACCCATAAATAAGAATAGCCTAAATCAGTTTTGATCTGTCTGGCACGTTTTAATAATTGTTTATTTTGAGGGGTGAGATGATCAGATACATACAGATTTAGCGAGGGACCCGAGAGACCAACATCAGCAGTAGTTAGGCCACGTCGCGAGCGCACCGCTGCGAGAAATGCATCCTTACACAGCCGTCGAGTAAATTTTACAATAATGGCCGGCGGACGCGGATTGCTTGTTTCCCCAGACACACCCGCCTCGAACCTTCGCACACGCGTGACACCATCGATGTCACGGTCGTCCAGTGAGTGCCCAATCTTAATTGAAATGGCCCGTAATATACCCATGAGGTTTTCACCAGCAGTAGTAGGTATCCCGGATATTTCGATATTGTTCATCCTACCTAATTGATCCCGCTGCTGTAACTCGTTTTCCAGAACCGATATTGAACTTTTAGCAGAATCTAAGTCTTGTTTTAGCCTAGGAATCAGAGCAGTCTTGTTTTCGGTGGCTGTTAATCTGTCTTCAATGTTACTAAAGCGCGATTCCATTTCGGCAAATTTTTTGTTTAATTCTTGTATACTGTTAGTTACCTTTTGGATATCACACCTCATGCCGACAAAATCGCTTCTAAATGCTCGTAGTTCTTGTAAGACGTCAGAAATATTTGCATCTGTAATATTCAATGAACCCGTTACTCCATCTACAGCGCTATTAGAGGCACTGTTGGAAGTCAGATTGTCATCGGTCTTGGCCGGGCGCTGCTCGAATTGCCTACGGGTTGGTGTTTCGTCGCCTTTGACACATCTTACTCCCATAGTACAGGTAGGGCATACCCAGTTATGTTTAATGGCGGTATAGGTGTTCACCGTCATGTTTAAACACTTATAGTGATGGTTGCCTTTACAGGTAGCACAGGTTAATACCTCACCTCTGTTTATCCTACCGTTACAAGCCAAGCAATTCATTGTAATAATAAAATAAGAATAAATATATTTATATGTAATTTGTGATTGCCGAAATGTCTTATTTTACTCCTTCTCTAATATAAGCCTCTGAGCGGTTGAGCGCTGTACGTGACGCGTCTGCGTTATGTGCTCTTTGTCGGTTGACGTAGCGAACGGAGTGACCACACAAAGCAAGGGCTCGCACGCAATTATCGCACTTAGGCTACACGCACAGAAGCAGCGGAACGGCGAATTTCACTTGTGGAGCGCGAGCACACAAATCGTTCGCGGGTAGTTTAGGCAACACGACCCTTTGCACTTTTTGTTCAAATCTATTAAAAATACACTCGTTAATGCACTAAAAACTGATTATTTAATGATTTGAATAGTTAAAATCAATTAATTTACAAATTGAATAAAAAAACTTGCAATATTTACACAACAAAATAATAATTTTCGAGGAGCACTTAAAAAGACTACTGTGTCAGAATACCGTAGCGGCAAAGATATTAATAGACTTTATTTACAAAGATATTAATAGATTATTAATAGACAGGTGTTATATTTTGATGGTATCACTTTTGAACACCAACAAACAACAACACAAATACAATTTAAATTAGAATCCCGTTTATGAGTACAATTGACGATTACAAACAGGCTTTATGTCAGTTCTCGAAAGACGTTGTTCTGTATAGAAATAGAAACAAATCTCTATGTTACAATAAACAAAAGTACTTTCATTTAAATTGCAATCGTTTCCGTCGATGACGCTGCGTGGGCGGCGACTCGACCGGCGGCACGGCCCCGACGTAAGCACAGCGCAGGCAAAAGCCTTTATACCGAACCACAACTGACTGATGAACGTGTGTGGGCAATCTTACTGGCGCTTCCCAAGTACAGCTCTTCAAATTACTCTTTGTCAGCAACTTAATCAAGGTAGTTTATAAAGCTTGTGTCATGCACTAGCTGTGTTGAGTGTTGGCTCCACATTAGCGATAGCGATGGGCGACTGTTACTAAATATCGACGATTTACCCGATATTTTTTCATTCTATATTTTTACATTCGATTTTCGATTTAGTAGTCTTTACCGAAAAATAATCGAATATAGTTACTAATTTAGTAAATACTAATTACATTTTCGGTGTCTAAAAAAGGTCTTCTATACTATGGTATGGAAAATGAAAAAAGACCATCCTATTACTTATTTAGTACCAATCGATCCTATTACTAATTTATTAACAATCAATCCTATTACGTACTATTACGATATTTGATGAACAACCAAAAGTTAGTAACTATTTCGATTCACAATTGACATTTGATCAACAAACAAAAAGTGAAGTGTGAACAATCGAACTATTTCGATTATGTTTATAATCGAATAATTCGATTACTTTTAGTAACTATCACTCATCCACATAGCTCTTTGCTTTGTGTTTTAGTAATTATCGCTCATCGCTGCTAAAACTCGTCGTAAATTTTGGCAGCTAACGCGATTCAGTAACGATGCAGTCGCTTATCGTCTACCTTTACACACGCGCTCGATTTTAAGCAGCGATGCAAACGCGATGCAATCGCCTATAAATCGCAAGTGTAGCGACTCTTAGAGTATAATGTTACGCTTTGACTTTTATAGCATAGGTTTAATTACTGTTGCATATAGATAAGATCTTTTTTTATGATACCAAGTGACGGGATGAACAAATAATGCGCCTGGTGATAAGCGACACGCCTGACCTGACCACAACGATTTGAAGGGCACTGCCTCTGCGTCCGTCATCCTGAAACGCAAGTTGACAAGTACCAGCACTCTTAACCTTCAAAACCGAAACACAGCTCACGTTTTGGCGGCAGAAAGGAATAAAGTACCCATATAATAAAGGAGCTAGAATAGCTACTAATCCTATTGTCGATGCGACAGTCGAAGAAAGCTTCGTATAAATTTAGAAAATATTTCTTTGCATTATTTAGCATATACATTTATGCTAATGGTAAAACTTCTCGTCTCATTTAAAGAAGCCTTTGTTCAGATCCTGGTACCACGATCTCAGTCTTTCAGAAGAATTCCTTTTTTATCTTTAAACAAGCTTCACCCGCCTCCGAGTACACTGATCACAATTATACAACCCAAATTATATTCTAATGCTGCCCTCGGCTTTAGAAGGACCTGTTCAACAGGGAAATCTACTTAAGATAGTATGAGTAAAATGGAGAGCGGCAATAGTTCAATAGGAAAACAGTTAATTTTGAATTAAGAAGTGGATGGTTCGAATCCAAGTGGCGGCATTTAACCCATTGTTCCGTGTGTCAGTCTAAAAAAATCTTCAGCCTATACACCTGTATACAGTTATAATTTGACACTCATCCTACACTATCGTTTTTGTCTTTTGTCACACAGGGTCCGGCATTCTTTATGTCCGTATCAAGTCGACATTTTATTGGGGGTCAATTTATTTCGTATTAACACCGCGATGTTTGTGTTTCCCACACGGTGCGTCCGCGCAGCCGGAGATCGGTTTATTACGGTTCTCTATTAAAGAGAAATCATTGTGAAGATTGTACTGTTACTGGATGAAAAGGACCGAGGTGCAAATTATACCGATAGCGTGTGATTTAGTTCATATTTCCGTTATTGTACGGTTGGTTGACGTCTTTGTTATCTACAAATTGCGTTGTAGTTGTGTTGATAAAAAGCATCTTTTTTACCTCGAATACTAATATCTATATCAATTAATACAATAATATTAATACTATTAATACTATATCAACTGCCTCCGTGGCCGAATGGTTACCATACTGGACTGCCATGGGGAGGTCCTGGGTTCGATTCCCGGGCCGGAAGAAATATTTGCCGACATATACTTTTCTCTCGTTTGGATGGAATTTGTGGTTGTCTATGTGTATGTCTATGGTACCCGCGATACAGGGCTTCCCTACTCCGGGGCTGTGAGCATATTGATACATAACTCATTAAGCGGTGGTGGAGAAAAGTATGGTTCGAATCTCTGACCGGCCTGTGACTTTAATTTCAAAGTTACGTACAGTTTTTTGAAGGAATAATTCTTGCTAACAACAGTCAAGGAATACTGACGAAGCCTGTGCATTGAGGAAAGTTCACAACCCTTGGCAACCTGAAGTCCCCAACTTGTATTGGGCAAACTCGGCGGACTATACGGACCCTAATTTCACAGCTGGTGAAATTAGGGTAAGGTTGCTAACAATGGACCAGCGCTTTGATTGAACTACTTCAAAATCTCGTCAACTATTCGTTTTTGAAGTTGTAAGTTGGTTCGGATCAGTACCTCTATATCCCCCCGGCCGACCCCTTTCGCGCCACGATTGTCTCAGGTTTGGTTGAGGAGAGATATTCGTCATTGTGTTTCTCGCGCTTCCGTTAGAAAATTCACGTGACATGTTTTACCATGTAAGTACATTTCTGTAAGGCTTTTTATTGTAATATTTTTCAATAATGATAGAAATGTAAATGCTGTAGACGAGAAGCAAATTATAAATATAAATAATAATATATCATGAATAATATTTTTCAGTTCATATGTTATGATAGTTTTAATGAAGAATGTGGTACGGTATGGTACTCCTTGTGTCCAACTTTTCAAGCAAGTCAGCCAGCAATTAATTGGCTAGGTACGGTTGTTGCGGTTATGGTTATAGCTGATCTAAGAGAATATAGTTGTTCACAGTTTTATTTAGTTAAATGAACATATTGTTCCTTTGTATTGTTTGTATTTTTCTCATAGTTTCTTTATATAAACTGAGATTTGATATTGCGTAGCCAGTTATGAACTTTATTGTCAAATATGTTATGATAGATATTTTTTATTTACACGAATAGTCCCATTTGAGCTTTGCGCTTATTATTATTAATAATAAAGACTGACTTAAAGAAATTAACATTACATTTTATTTTCGTTAATTTGACTGGCTCTTTGATTGAACCAGTAGGGAAAATCTTTTAAGGCCAATGATGGCAACTGAGTGGTCCAATTAAAGTGACGGTGGTCCAAAGAAGGCACCCGTCACATGTTTTTATTTTTCTGTTTTGTAGAACAATGCTTCATAAAAAGAAGCCTGTAGCGATATCTACAAGTACATGAATTTAAGGCCTTTTGAAACTTCGAATGTTTTCTTTTTACATTGTGTGATTTAAAATTTACTCTTGTTCAAAATTAAGTGGTCCAATAGTAGCAACCTTACTCTACAAGCACATGGGACTTTGACAACTTATGTCTCAAGAGGATCTAGAAGGAAACGTATACTGTATAATATAGTAGAGAAACAACAGCCTTTAAGACATTAAATAGATAACAACTTATTCAAAACTAACACTATAATTATTATATTAAACCACTCAAAAAAAAAGTAACAGAAGGAAGTTACACCATCCAGGAAGTTACTTTACATACTTAGAATAATAACGCATAGAATGATAGTTTCATATCAAAGGAACTGTTACAA